ATTCCATTGCAGAGCATAGAAATGCTGAATGTAGATCAGATTAGCTGGGTCAATTTAAATGTTGTTACTGGGTTGATTATATTGGCTAAGGCACCATTGATTTAAAATAAATTCCCATATTGTTTCATTATCCTGTAGATGATGAGATTAGCTGAGTTGGGTAGAGCATAGCACTAATAATGCCAAGGTTGAGGGTTTTGAACCCTGTATGGGCCTTTCGCTTAGGAGTTGTACTTGAGGATAATTGTGAGTCCCTTCCAACTCAGAATATTCTCTGATTCTGTGAAACATGAACAGCTTCATGTACAGATTTATTCTTCAGATCTAAACAGATTCACAGGATGGCTTCTAATTCTGTGATATATCAATTTTAATAAAGACTAAAAAACTCTGTGTAAACCATATGTAGAGAATTAATCACAGGTTTATGAAGTTGTCACAGTGTGGGAAAACCGAAAACAAAAGAACATTACAAATATGAAATCTAAAAGGATTCCACCTTGTATAGTTCAGTCAATGACTGGTTTAGATTTCAGTTGGAGCGTATACAATACAGAAAGAGCAGTAAGGTTTTTCCTTTTTAATTGAAAGAGATTATTGCAAAGTTTCAGGTCAAAAAAATCATTTTTACACCAAATTTTGGGGAAGGGGGTTTCCTTCATTTTATTTCTTAGTCTGACCATCTACCAGAGGAAGACACTTCTCAATTACACGAGGCCAAGGGTTAAAAATAAATAAAATCAGAACATAGAGTATTTTTACAGAGGTAAATTCAGGCGGAAACCGTTGTTTCCTAAAAACTCTAAATTTCACATTAAATTAGATATCCAATATAATGCGCTAATGCTTGCTAAGTCAATGAAGGGATCTCTCTGAAGTAAGTATTTGGCATAGGTTTACTTGTTCTAAAAAACCCAGTTTGAAATTTTTTTCCCCTGCACTAAGGTGAAAGAAAAGGTGTTGAACGAGGGAGGGGGAGGGCGATTCACACACACAAAAGAACTAGCCAGCAGACCCACATTCCAAGCTAATGGCCCCCAGAAGACTGGGGGGGGGGGGGGGGGGGGTAAGGTTTTTTCCTTTCTCCTCGGGGAAACGGCATCGGCACTTTACTTTTGCCCTGACTCAGGGAGAGTGTGTGGGAAGAGAAGAGTTCCGGGGTTCATTTTGTTTTTAGCTGGGTCATCTGGCTGCCTTTGGCCCCGATCTGCCTTTGGCCCCTATCTGCCTTTGTTCTCCCACACCCTGTTCTGCCCGCAGCCCAGACCTGCTCAGATTTTATCACAGAAAGCCAGGGCCATCTGCAGAGGAACCTTTGAGGAAGAGGCCGCCCCTTCCCTCCTCCGTTCCCGTGTTGGCAGCGACTCATATGCACTGACAAAGGGAGGTAATCCCAGCCAGATCCAGCCACTGACAGCATGAGTCCATAGGAAAAACCCTTTTTTCCCCTTTTTCCCTTCCTCTTCTCGGTGGGGGGGAATCTCCATTTCGGCTTCTCCCGCACACCGGGGCACCCACGCGGTGACCGCCGGAGCTCAACAGCGCCCCCTGCTGGCCAACACCCAGCAACTGCAGGCTCCGCTCCTCCAGTGATCCAACACCATCCCCTGCTGATCGTGGTTAGAATTGCACCAAAAGGTAAAAAAGTACTGAACTGTTTTTGGAGGGAACCTTGGGTACAGGATTGTTGTTTAGCTTTTTTTTTGTATTCTTTTGTTGTTCTGCCTATACACCTATATCCTTTAATAAAGGGCTGTTATCTTTTCTTTCTCACTATTTCCTCAACTGGAGCCTCTTAATTTCGGATTTACAATTCCTTAGAGGGAGGAGCTTGGTCTTTCTCATAACTCATCCTCCTTAGCAAACACTTCAGTCTCATTAAATTGAGACAGTATTACATACTAAGACTGGCAGAATTCTATCAGTTGCTGATAAGATATAGAGACATTTCTCAAGATATGAAGCACAACTATAAAACATGACCTATGAAGTTAATTTGCAGATAAAAACTACGTTGAAAGTCTTCATTTACATTGCAAGGTCTAGCTGTTGGCATCTAGGGAAGGACTGAATCACAGTTTAATACACAACTGATTAATTGATGATCACATTTTCCATAAACCCAAATTAGGCCCTTCTGAAATGTATATCTGGAAAAGTACTCTGATTAGATACTGGTATTATTTACTGGTTACACAGTAAATATTTGACATTAATTACTTTCCTTGTGTCTTTTGAAATCATTATTGATTTTAATAGTGTGTATTTTGTTTGGTTTTTGATAACACCAAAGTAATATTAGTCTGTACATCCTATTTCATGAACCTTGTATTTACAGCCTATCCCTCTTTGAATTTTAGTGATGTTAAGTCATGGTAATAGAACTGTCTGTTCTCAAGTCTAGACTTTGGGTTGTTCTGTTTCTTTTACTGTTAAATATGCCCAAGGTTATTAAAGAGTTATGGGCTTCATCTTTTCATTAATTATTACTATTCTGTAAACATCGTATATCTAAGTATTATTACATATTTATCAATAATTAATAGAACACTCTAAACTTTTCTTCAGTGGAAGGTGCAAGTAATCAAACTCCTGCGAACAACAGAGGCAAGTATGCATTTGTTGTGATATCTGGATTATTAGATCTAGTGATTTTTAAACACCTAGTTACATGTCAAAGTGGAATATTCCAATATATCAATACCAATTTTGGTATTATCTTCAATATTTTAAAAAAATCTTATCAGCCTCAGGAACACTTTTCTTATTAGCACCCCTTATGGGTACTCCTGGTCTATCTGAGAAAACATTGATTAAAGTCCCCAGAACCGCATCATTATGTCATTACAAATTAACTTTGAATTCATCTGCTGTATCATCTTGAAAATTCTCCCAGTTTCTAAGAAACAAAATAATTCATATAGAAAAGCCAGCTTAACAAAACTGAATCGCTCCATTATAACAGATACATTCATCTTTTGGCTCCTCATCTGCTCTATCTCTATCTATAAACAACATTTTGTTTATAAATTCACTGGAGTGGAAACTATCATTTACTATATAACTATATAACTATATAACTATATAACTATATAACTATATAACTATATAACATAAGTTTTGATTACTTGAGGATCTCTAGGTGTCTCACCAACATAACTAGTACATACAGAAGAAATGAGACCTAAGTAGGAGCACAATAACAGGTAATGTAGAAACTTCCCTACTGATGTCAAAATAGTGCATGATCTCTTTAACACAGACATCTGAAATATAATGATTTGGAGTGAAATTATGGCTCCAATGAAGTCCATGTTTTGTTTTTTTTTTTACCATCTTATTTTGGTAACAGTGTAACTTTAAGAATATTTGTGTATAAAATTAACTTTAGAAAATGGCATATATTTTTGTTTTCCTCTGTTCTGCAATGGGTCTATTATTGTATTTACAAGTCCAATATGACAGAGCGTTCTTGTTTTCATCCTTGGTTTCATACAAGAGCTATTTCTTTTTTCTTTCAAGGTTATGAATCTGATAGCTGTGTGTCAGTTTTGTAGACTTGATAGATATATTCAGTTAAGGGAGGAGATCAAAGGGAAAGCTGGTGGGCCTGAAAGTTTTGGCTGTGACAGGATGAACTCATCACCAAGCATTGTGCTGACAAGTGTTGCTGTCAGGGCACAGCAAGAACCAGCTGCTTTCTTAGGGCTGGGGAGCCAAGAGCTGAGGGGGACCCCCAAGTTGGCTATGCCCTCACAAATGGGGCACCATCCACAGGGTCTGAACACAGTATGTAGAGCACAGTGATGGTAAGAGGGCCCGTCATCAGCAGTGAACCAGGTCCAGAGAAAGTCCTGTCAGGAGCTGTTGGTGATGGGGCCAGAGACAGGGCTGAAGACAGCTCTACCCTTCAGACAAAGATTGAGCTGGGCTTGTGGGCGTTTTCAGGTGAGGCTGGTCAATAAGCCCATTCAGGCTTGTGAGTGAAATCAGGCCTCACAAAGAGCTGCTTCCTTTTAATTCTTTTCTTTAGTTTCTTTTTTTCCTTCCTTTTTCTATCAACAGCAGACCTAACAAGATGAATACAGCTTGCCTCATTTCGTTTGTGAATGGCATCCTGTGTAAACATCTATGAATAATACTTAAGAGTGTTGCAGTCCAAAATTTGGATACCAGCAGAAAAGGAAATGCTGAGTTTAAACAGAAAGCCTTGGGCCACAGGGGCCGAGGAAAAACCCACCATCTAAAAGACCAGACAAGATCCATTGACATTCATTCATGTGGACTGTCCTGTCACCCCCAGTAGGATATGGAGAGACTCTGCTGTGATGCTATCAGTTCATGCAAAAGCCCCATTGTTTTCTTCCCACCCTGTGTAATCCTTATTTTGGGAAAAGCTGACCATCCTTCCTTGGTGTAATCCTGATTGCTGGAACTGTCAATCCTTTTTCCCCCAAATATAAATACTGGATCGGAGAAATGTAAATCCCTTTTTCCCCTTATGTCGCCCCTCCTACTGGAAATGCTAATGGGTTGCGGAATACCCTAGTTGGCATAAACTGGTCTCCTTATTAGCATATTAAGCCCCCGAGACCCTTAAATAAGCGTTTCGCATGTTCGATAAACTATTCCAATTTCTACCTCCATATCTGGGATCGTCTAGCTTTATTGGACCCATTACAAAGAGGATAAAATGCTGAAAGTCTTCTTCATACTTAAGGGAAATACAATTAAATTGTCTTTAATTTGTATCTATTGGATATGCTGAGTTCTTGAGCAGCCTCTTATGGAATGTTTTCATACACAGAGCTCCATCTGCCTGAATCTACAAATCAGTAGACAAATTAAACAAATAAGAGACTCTTTTTGCTTTCATATCTTTGGACTTTTACACTTACAAATGCTAATTTACTTGCACAGCCACACATCACAAAGAAAATTTCTTGATACTACTGAAGAGAGAGAAAGTTTTTTCAGTGGAGCTGTGATTTCATACTTACTTGTTTGCTATTCTAACAGGTTTATGTGCGGATGTCGAGGATGCGTTTGGAAAGAGTGATCAACACCTCCCCTGGGAGCTGAAATAAAAGTAAAACAGTAACAGAGACTTTTGCATTTCAAAGAAGGTTCTTGAGACCGAGTTAGTTACAGAGAAAAATAAAACTGACTCTTTCCTTATTCTTTTACCTAGCTTAATACAATGCTTGTAAGACTCATGTTTTTCTTATTTATACTCCCTGTATTTGTCAGTCAGATTTCCTCAGTCATTAACCCTTCTTTTGCTATTCTGTAATTTATTTTGTTAATTCATTTTACAAGAGAGCATGCAAGGATTCTTGCTTCTCTGTTCAAGTGCAGCATAGTGCTTTATGCTAACCTTCACAAGTCATGCTGAACTTGTCAGTGATATTTATCATCCAAGTTTAAAAGGTTATGTATACATTTTCCAGTTGGACACGTCATTCATTAGTTTGTTTTTTTTTTACTGATTTCTCAGCATGTAGTGATATGGGATTTGTGATCCATATGGTTTACATTTCAGAGCTGATCAGGTCAAAAAAAGATCAGTAGAAGCTGTTCAGTCACTTTGATTGATTTATCAGTTCTAATGACATCATTAGAGTGAAATGTTTTCAAGAATGCCACATAATCATAATCAAACAATCTTGCCTCAACATATGATAGTTCATTGAACTGAAAAGTGACACATAGAAAAGGAATGGAACCATTTAATTTTATCATCATGTTATTAAAAATATGAATTGAAAATCAGGTACTTAGTTATTCAATTTATCAATTGGAAAAAAAATAAATATTATGTTCTTAGCCTGTGAATTTGAAAACAACATATTGGTTTTGTCTTAATAAAACAAATACATACCAGTAAAGCTGGATTAAAGCCAAAATGTGACAGTGCTTTTCAGTGACATTTAAGAACTTATTAACTAAAAGAAAGCTTCTTCTAAAAGAAACTGGGTACTTCACAACATATATCTCATTAACTTTCAATGGGTTTTTTTGAAAATGAGGTGTCTAATTTATCACTTTTATAAGCAGTAGTAATGGAATACTATCCAGCATTTTCATATATCTCAACCCCAATACATGAACATCATAAAGGCACATTCATAAATCATCAATTTCTACGTTGATTTTTTGTTCTATTTAATTGCAGCTGAGATTGACCTCAGCACTTCTAAAATTGCAGCCTATTTTTACCTACATCTCTGGATTTCGAAAGGAAGCTTAAAAATAGGCATTCCAAGTAGACAACACTGGTTTCATTTATGTAATTTAATAGTTTGTCATCACCAAATATTGTAATAATATTCCTTTCATTTTGCCCTTGATTAAGCAGATAATTCATACCAACTGTTGAAGAAAATACTGGGAAGCAGAATGTGCATGCTACTAATATTTTGGATTCAAGTAGATTTTAGGTCAAAGGGAGGACAAAAATATAATTGAAACCAAAATTGTTCATTTCTTTCCCTTCCTTAAGGACTCTTCCTTTGCTTATTTAGGTGAGTTAGTGCTATCCGTAAGAATCTTTCTGGTATACAGAAATCTCACAAATTTATGTGGAAAACTACTCACTGAAGTCATTCTATGGACAATAATAGAAAAGTCCAAAACATCACTATACACAAAAAAAAGTCAAATAATTACAAATATCCACAAATACAAATAAAATTATTGCAAATACCCATGGAAAATAAAACTTCTGTTTGTATAGGAAAGACTGACAAATATACTGAGCAATTTATGTTTGGGACGAAAAGATCAAAAATCCTTGTGAGACACCACTTTTACCATAGGAGTCATTCATCCCAAGAGAATTTTGAATGCATTAGGTTGTATGACTGAAATGGTATTTATATATCTTCTCTTTAAGGTGTTTAAAATATAGTTTAGCTAATTACACTTTTTCCTTGCTGGACAGTTCCTTATCATTTATGGATGTTGACTCCCACAGTTTTGAAATCTAGAAATACCACCAAAACTATAACTGATCCTATTCTTCATTTCAACAGGTTTTTTTACAGATAATGTGCAGAACATCAAAAAAGCTCCACTGTAGATATAGGAAAACCTCAGCCTATTATTCATGGAATTCTATCTGGGAATGTTCAAATATTATATAATTTAAAAAGCAACAAATGTGGAACTGAATTCTTTTTTCTTGTAATTAAGAAAAGTGTCACGGATATATGAGGATCACCAGTTATATCAAACACAAACTGGAAAACTCCTACTATTTTCCCTGGGTATAAATTCTCTTCTTGAATTTCCCCATGCCACCACACATAGTGGTGTGTGGTCCAGCTGCCGCCAAGGGACCAGCCACAGAGAGCGAACAGGGGGAGTGATGGGAGATGGCCTTATTGCGGGAGGTCCCGTGGGAGTTTGGAGGGGATAAGAACAGTTGGCAGGACAGGGACAGGCTCTCTTTGTTCCGGCACGGCAATCAAGAATGAGCAGCCACCTCTTGGGACCGTGGTCACTGTCGTCTTGCTCTCCCTGCCACGGGACCCAGCCAGCCTCCTACCACTGCCTGCCATGCCTTGCTACATAGCATTTGTGTTGCCCTGCACGCCCATCGCCGGTGTTGCGCTGCATATCAGTGGCACCCTCACTGCTGCCACAGAACCTGGGGGAATTCATTCCCTTTGTGTGTGGTGAGCGTCGCTGCCCACGTACAGGTCTCCAAAGCTGTTGGCACAGCTGCAGCCAAGAAGAAACTGCTGCCTCTCCTTATTCTGGGATGGTAGCTGAGTTGATGAGCCCCTATGCTCCTGCCTGTGGCTTTGCTCCACATACCAGCGCTTTCACTACCAGCCACCACCCTCCCGTGTTTCTCTGCTGCCGACTGCTGGACCAGGGTGTCCCATCCTGCTCACCAGACACCAGGACTGTGCTGTTTTTAGACCACTGGTGCTTTCTGCCATTTTTTGTCTGCGCTGCCTAGGCACCCACCTCTGTCATCACTACAGCCAGTTGGAAAGAACTGGGAACCTCCTTTGTGCACCTCTCCATGTGTCATCTGCCTGGCACGGTGGTGATTCCACTCCAACTCCATTGTAACTCCGTGACTGTGCTGGGACTGCATTGTTGCCTCAGTGACACAGAAGTGAAAAGAGTGATTTCTGGGTGACATTTTTCTCTGTTATTGTGTGGATGTTGCTTTTGTTCTGTTTTGTTCCTTGTTTTTAGTAAACTGTTATCTTTTTTCTATACGTTGCTCGAAAGTCTCAGATTTTCAAATTGACAATAAGTCTGGGAGCTAGGGGTCTCTATTTCATTGGAGGTACTACCTCCTAGTGTACATTGTCTTTAACCCAAGACACCCTGCGAAGGACAAAAATTTCACTTGTGACTTAAGGTCTTTAGTACATAATAAAGACATGGTTATAGAATAGAAACAGTTGGAAGGGACACACAAGGATCACCTAGTGCAACTGGTTATAATGGTCAGAAATCTCTCTTTTCAAAGAGCAAACTTATAAATACCTTATAAACTAATAAAAACCATGGAGAATCAGAAAATCTACAGGACAACCAGTAGAAATTTATCTTTCTCTCAAGATTTTTGGTTGTAAGAAATTCTAATTACCATAAAAAGTATCTTCAAAGACTCTATGTATTGTAACAGGACTTTGGGAAGCTGATAGAACCTTGCTCCAGAGAGTAAGTCTAATAGATGGAGAGAAGTTGCAGGCTTGAAGGTCTACTAAAAAAAAATGAAATATTTTTAGACTTCACACTAATTCATTATACACAGGGTATAGCAAGAAAATTTGTGCACCGTATTTAAATGTATATATACTTTTTCAAAATTACTGCTTCCTGAGCCTCACTGTTAAAGGTTCATTTACTAGAGTTCTAGCTCAGTTGACTGAGTCTCTGAATTTAGAGCCAAGTGCATTACCTGAGTGACAGCAGATCGAGCCTGCATAAATAAGTGAGGAGTTATCACTGTAAAGAGTGCAATAGCTAATAGTTCCAATCCTTATTTTTAAATTAAGTGTATACACACCCTCCTCCAGAATCACCAACCAGATTAAAAAATGCAGTCTAAATGCACCGGTGTGAATTGACCCTGACTAGACACCAGATGCCCACCAAAGCCATTCTCTCACTCCCCTCCTCAGCTGGACAAGGGAGCAAAAGTAAAACAAAAGGTCTGTGGCTCAAGATAAGGGCAGGAAGAGATCAGTCACCACTTACCATCAGAGGAAAACCAGTCCACACTTGGGGAAATTAGTTTGATTTATTACCAATCAGATCAGGATAATGAGAATATAAAAGCAAATCTCAAAATCACCTTTTATCTGTATGGCACCACTCAGGATTGCATATGCTGTGCCTCGTGGTATAGATCCCACACCTGGCAGTGGATCACAAAATACTTCACCTATAATAAAGCTCCACTAAACCACATGTGGTTATATTACATTTCTATTATAACTTATGCAATACCCATACAACATGCCAGACCTCTGAAGGGAGAATTTAAGCCATTTCTTAGACTATTACATTATAAAATTATTCTAATAGTGTAAGGTTTCATTCAGCTCTTTACTTTAGTCCCTAATACACAACATACATAACTGTTCATGTTTTTGGTGTACTCAATTACCAATTTTGTTACTCAGAAAGCCCTGGTTGTTACGTTCAATAAGCAGTCACATAACTGCCTTTGATGGGTCTAGATAAGAAATTAAAAATAATGGTGAAAGGATATAAAAAATGATGTATAGGCTGAACCTAGTTCTGATTTCAATTTCATTGACTGTATACTAATTTAACTGCACGGACTTAATAAACATATTATGATTTACACTGCTGCCACTCGCCTATATTTCAAACACAGATCATAATTCTATAATTCAGTGCTACCTAATCCCTTAAGGCAACAATGAAAGTCCTCTTTTTTTTTAAAAATAGTATATATTTTTTAAAAAAGTGTATATATATAGATATATAATATATACATACAGACAGACATACAAATGAAAAATTATGTACAATATCTATAAATAAAAAAAAGCTGCTCAGGTATTATGCAGTCTCTCAATAAAAAAGAATGGTTAAGGATAATAACTTTCTTTGTTAGCATGTTAATTTACCTGTTTTGTGTAAAGAGGAGAAAAAATCAAGAGTAAATTTAAAAAATGAAATCAAGGAAGAACAATACTTTATGGGCATTCTTGCAGTAAAAGCAATTAAAACACAACTGTTTCAGAAAAAAATATGAACAGAGATTTAAGCACCAAAAGTTTTTGTTCTTATGTTAAATATGCTGGCTTGTATTTATACTACTCATATCAACATATATTATGACACGTTGTTGTGGTTTATGAGTGATATTCCCCAATTTAATTTTCCCACTGAAACACTCCAAACCATGTGCCGCTTTCTCACTCCTCACTTCCCTTTCCCCTTCCCCTGCAGTGGGGTGGAGAGGAGAACTGGAGGCACAGAAGGTAAAGATTACGGGTTGAGATAAGAACAATTTACTGGAAACAGCAATGAAATAAGAAACAAACTAACAGCAGCAGTACCAATTCTATACAAGAAAAGAGGTGAACGACTCACACGTTGCTCACCCTGCAGAAACCCCCCAAAATACCCAACCACTCCCTCTGCCACGCTACGTGACCTGGAAGAGAGCCCTTCCCTCATCCCCAGAAAATGTCATGAGGTGGTAGAGAATAACCTTCATGTCCTTGTCATGCCCTCTCCTGACTACTGCAAAAATTAACCCTGTCCTTCCATTGAAGATACTTAATTTCCCCCTGAAAAGTCCACTTGTAAGACAATTAGTATTTCTTTGCTAAGTACAATGCAGTTTGATTTCCAACAAGAAAACTTCCCTGTATAAATTTTGAGCTACCTCTACTCTGAGGTCACTACTAATAATGAAAAAGAAAAGCTTAAAACAGCCCCTATGGAAAAGCATAGCCCTCTTCTAAAGAATCAATGAAAAATTTCAAACTAAATTTTAGGTTTGTGATTTCATCAGTCCTGCCTGGGTACTTCCTATAATAATACTGCACCAAGATCCACTTTTAATTGTCACAAATTTTTCATGTAATAAAACTCTATGATTGCAAAAGCAAATATATGGATATTAACTAAAATATCTTCATTTGTGACATTTACTGCTGATCTGGCTATTTTAAGCCCATACTCCAGGTTATCCAGTTGGTTTGTTTTTCCAATGTGAAAATCTTCAGACAGAGAGGCATGTGGTGCAACAAACACTGGAACCTCTTTCAAACGGTGTCATAGGTTTACTTGTTCTAAAAATCCAAGCAGAAATTTTCCTTTCCCCTGTCCCACTGTAAGAGAAGGAGGTTGAACGAGGAGGGGGAAGGGGTAATTAACTATACAAAAGAACTAGCTGGCAGACCTGCATTCCCAGCTAATAGCCCTTCCAGAAAAACTGCAGAGAGGGGGAAGGAGTTTTTCTCCTCTTCTCCTTGCAAATGGGGGACACTTCATTTTCTGCCATAACGGAGGCGGGGGGGGGGGGGGTATTGGAAAAACTTTGAGGCCATTTTTGCTCTCGATCTGGTCATCTAGCTGCTCTTCGGCCTCGGCTTGTCTGCGCACTGCCCTGTCTCCAGCCCAAATCTGGGGGAGTACTGACCGCAGCCAGTCGCAGACAATGTGAGTTTTGCAGGAAAGAAACCGCCCTTCTCTTCCCTTCTCCCCTTCCCCTCCTCGGTGAGGGGGAGATCTCCATTTCGGTTTCTCCTGTGCACTGGGGCTCCCACGCGGCGACCGCCAAAGCCCAACAGCGCTCCCTGCTGACCAACACAGAGCACTGCAGGCTCTGCTCCTCCAGTGATCCAACACTACCCCCTTCCAACCGTGATTAGAATCGTGCAAGAGGACAGAGAAGAGAAGTATCAAAATGTTTCTTTTTTTTTTTTTTTGAAGGCGACTTTTGGGTACAGGATTATTGTTTAGTTGTTTTTGCGTTCTTTTGCTGTTTTTTGCCAATATACATACATCCTCTAATAAAGGGTTGTTATTTCTTTCTTTTTTCCATACTTCCTCGATTGGAGCCTCTTAATTTCAGATTTACAATTGCTGAGACAGAGGAGTTTGGTCTACCTCATAACTCATCCTCCTTAGCAAAACACTTCAGTCTCCTTAAACTGAGACAAATGGAAACACAGAACTCTACTATAGCCACTGCAGCAGTTCAGTCACATTATTTTAATCACTCTGCAGCATTTACAGTTGTCAGGAAAAGGATTGCTTCCATTGGTTCCATCTGGCCAGCTGCTTGTCATCTTAATGGACATGCATTCCAGGTCTTCTTACGCCCATGGTCATGCTCGAATTCATCCGCCCAAGTGGAATACTTAACAAGAGCAATTTTTAAAAAAAAACATAGTTGAATGAACCATCAGACTTGGTCTTCAGGGTTAATAGCTATTTACCTAATTAAAATGCTTAGAAAACATTTTTCAGGCTTTCTATGGCTATTAGCTTTTTGTTTTGGTTTGGTTTCCCCTTTTTTGCCCTCCATTAGTTATTTTTCCATCATCAAGAATGATTTTTGTTTTACAATAGTGAAGGGAGTAAATTAAGGTGTGGACCTAACTATCATCCTCTCAAAACTTATAGAAGGACCTAACTCTGGGATAGAGATCTCTCATGTAGAGTTACAGCAAAGGTACAGCTCAGTGAAGCTCAGTGGTACTGCCTTCCCTTTTGGGAAACTGCATCATCCCTCAAAACTTTGTCAAAAATATAACAGAATATAGACATATCCATCTGGTTTTAAGGTTTTTTTCTAGGTTTAGAAGACTGAGGGGAGGGACATTTGTGATTAAAAATTTTTTGGCACCCCAAACAGGAAGTTTGGTGCTTGTTGTCCTAAAGCTGTGTTATCCCTGTAAAGTCTAGTAATTTATGCATATTTCATACATGTGCATGCCTAATAATTTAGAGAAATTCATAGATTAAGAGAACACAGAAAAGTCTAGCCTAAATAAACATTGATTTAGAGGACAAAAATCAGACAAAAAAGAAAGAAAGAAAAAAAAAACAGAAAAAGAACAAGAAAAGGAAAAAAAAAAGAGTAAAAGACAGCTGTAATGACCTACTTTCATAATTTGCAAGTGAAGTGATAACTGAAAAATAATTGTTTTAAAATATCTATACCTCAATGGTAGGTAGTTGATTCATGCAACTGTGAATGAGACTGCAATAGTGAATCACATTCCAGGATCCAGCTACCAGTAAATCAGATATCTTAGAAATATTTGTCTCATGTTTCTGTTTTACACATGTACATACCCACATAGCAGTTTTAGCTTCAGTAGATACTTTGGAAATGAATTTTAATGGAGCTTCATAAAACAAACATTTGCACTAATTTAAATGACATTAATGTATTTTTATCGATCCCATTTGCCATTGCTTTGGTTCTACAAATTTTCTCTCTGCACTCACATTCCTAAGATTAATAAAATTAATATTTTTTGAAAATTGCAGTGTCCCTGTAATTACTTTAGATACAAATTGCACACATTTTATTGCCTTCATTAAGCCTGTAGTCATATGTGGCTCAGAGGATTAGTAATTAGGTGATTAATGGACAGTTTACTCTACTTTTCCAGTCTGCCTTCCAATTTTTTTTTTTGCCATCCGCTCATAGTTTCTGGAAGCAGTTGTAGCCTTTTCATGCTGACATATCTCTTCTTCCCTGGCTGAAGAAATCACCTACATGGAGTTTCAGAAAACAAACAGTCATATAAATCAGCACAGAATTACACAGAAATTAGTTTACTTCATTGAAAACCTTTCTTTCTAACTAAATGTTGCTGCATGTAGTAATGAAAACTGTGATCCTGCAAATCATAATATGGTTATTGACAATTAATTAAGGACAAGAACTCTTTTATTCCCTACAATATTAACAGTCTAGATTCCCAGCAGATAGCCCACAAGCTCTTAAATTTGCCAGTAGTTTTGAGAAAGGAATGTAATGAAATTTAGGAAACCAGAAATAGGCAAAACAGCAAATTGCAAATTCTGCTTGTGCTCTTCCAGTAACCCAGGGAGCCAAAACCTGCCTGAGCTTTTGCTTTGCATTGCTCAGCGCCGCATGTGCTAGTTATGCTGGGCATCCAATGCTGCAGATATGGCAGCGGCATCCCTGCTTCTGTTGCCTTGGAAGTGACAGCAGCTCCACAGAGGCTTTTTGTTGTTATTAAACAGCACCATACCTCTTGCTGTGGTCTGCAGCATCCCCTACAGAGCTCATAAAAAGTGATATTGTATACCTTTACTATCCTAACCAGGAAAGACTTGCTTTTCTTTTCTTTGTAATGCAGCTCCAAAAATTATAATTCAACCCTGTTTCAAATTGCCTATGTACCATTCAAGAATTTTAGCAAGGAAAACACTAAAATTGCATATTACTCCACTAGACCATATGACATAATAAGATTCAGAGAGATGGCAGAGTTCTACTTCACAGACTGATAACCAAATCAAGATTTCCCCTCCTCAGTTCAAGGCTTCTTTTGAAGACAACTAAATAAAAATCTTTCCAAAGCATAGAAAGACATAAGAAAAATAGTGGTTACGGGAAATCTACCTATGCATCCAGCACCTGCAATATGTTCTCTGGCCCAACAAATGAACAGAAAGAAGTATGTCAGGATAAAACTAAAAAAAAACCAACCCAAACTTATCAGAATGGAGTAAAAATAGTCTGCGTATTTGTCCTGGTTTGAGACCCCTAAAATCCAATTCCCGAGTCCAAGCCCCCCTCCCACATCTCAACCCAGTGTGAGATGGGTTTTCCAGACACTATACAAGACTCAATATGGGGGAAAAGGGAATTATATTACAATCACTGCACAAATAAGTATTACAATACATCATATACATAGTCTTAACTATCTCTCCTATGATAAATCAGTATTTACAATGGATCAATCTCTTCTCCCTCCAATAAAAGTCCAGAAGGGAGAAGGAAAGATCCTTTCCACTCTCAGAGCAGCAGCCTCTCTTCTTCCATGCTGCAGTTGTAACTGGATTGTTGTAGCTGGATCTCTTTCCAATACACACAAGGGGGGGTCTCCTCTACCCCTCTCGGCTTTTCGACTCCAATGGAAGGTCTCTCTCTCTTCCGTGGGCTGCGTAGCAGGGACAGAACTCACTTCACCACATCATATCATGGGGTGCAAGACCCCCATGAAGGTCTCTTCCTCAGAGGATTCAAGCTCCCTTGAGTCAGAACGTCTCGGGCAGCTTTCAATTGAAAACCTTTGCCTCAACCGTTCTGTCAGAGCTCCTGTGCTCTGTCTCGACGGGGGAGGGCCAAGGTCACCCCCTCCGCATTCCGTCTGGCCGTCTCGGTCCAGCTCCGGGACGTCTTGAGCTTCTTAGCTCCTCTCTCTCTCCGGTGCATGCTGCACTCCAAGACTCCTCTCAAATAGGAGTCCATCTCCTCCTCCTCTCTAGGAGGTCTCAGAGGGGTTTGGGGAGTTTGTTTCAGTTCTTACCCCAAAGTCTCTCTCTCTATAGAGCTTAGTTCTGCTCTGTCTCCATCAGACGTCTCTCTGTGTCTCTCCTCCTTGGCTGCAATGCCGGCTTTGCTGCTGCTTCTTATCTCTTTTGGCTCTTTGCCACTGTTCTCCGGTCAGTGCTGTTTCTGCCACTGCTTTTCAGTCCTCTGCTCCCACTCACAGTGGAAAAACTTCCCCAGCTCTTAGCTACATACACCTGGCCCACTTTAATACTGTTCCAAGTTCCTGCAGCCCCATCTGGGGGCTCCTACCCCTTCTTCTCGTGGCTTTAGAACATGGCTACTCTCTGCAGTAACTACAAGATCAATCCTTCTTTTCTGGTCTGGTTGTGATAATGTTTATATTTTGCAGGAGCGCTCATTGGCTCAAACCCAAAAGGACACCACCCCCTCGATGGTTACCATTTTTTTTAACTCTAGGGAGAAAACTTTTTCCCCCCACCACAACTCTCCACCCCCTCACTCTTGCAAAATTAAACATATCACACCAAACTGGAAAAGAAGGATGTTGTAGTTGTTGTTGGAGAAAGGGTAGGAGCCCCCCTGGGGGGCCATGGCCCCCCCAGGGCCCCAGATGGGGCTGCAGGAACTTGGAACAGTATTAAAGTGGGCCAGGTGTATGTAGCTAAGAGCTGGGGAAGTTTTTCCACTGTGAGTGGGAGCAGAGGACTGAAAAGCAGTGGCAGAAACAGCACTGACCGGAGAACAGTGGCAAAGAGCCAAAAGAGATAAGAAGCAGCAGCAAAGCCGGCATTGCAGCCAAGGAGGAGAGACACAGAGAGACGTCTGATGGAGACAGAGCAGAACTAAGCTCTATAGAGAGAGAGACTTTGGGGTAAGAACTGAAACAAACTCCCCAAACCCCTCTGAGACCTCCTAGAGAGGAGGAGGAGATGGACTCCTATTTGAGAGGAGTCTTGGAGTGCAGCATGCACCGGAGAGAGAGAGGAGCTAAGAAGCTCAAGACGTCCCGGAGCTGGACCGAGACGGCCAGACGGAATGCGGAGGGGGTGACCTTGGCCCTCCCCCGTCGAGACAGAGCACAGGAGCTCTGACAGAACGGTTGAGGCAAAGGTTTTCAATTGAAAGCTGCCCGAGACGTTCTGACTCAAGGGAGCTTGAATCCTCTGAGGAAGAGACCTTCATGGGGGTCTTGCACCCCATGATATGATGTGGTGAAGTGAGTTCTGTCCCTGCTACGCAGCCCACGGAAGAGAGAGAGACCTTCCATTGGAGTCGAAAAGCCGAGAGGGGTAGAGGAGACCCCCCCTTGTGTGTACTGGAAAGAGATCCAGCTACAACAATCCAGTTACAACTGCAGCATGGAAGAAGAGAGGCTGCTGCTCTGAGAGTGGAAAGGATCTTTCCTTCTCCCTTCTGGACTTTTATTGGAGGGAGAAGAGATTGATCCATTGTAAATACTGATTTATCATAGGAGAGATAGTTAAGACTATGTATATGATGTATTGTAATACTTATTTGTGCAGTGATTGTAATATAATTCCCTTTTCCCCCATATTGAGTCTTGTATAGTGTCTGGAAAACCCATCTCACACTGGGTTGAGATGTGGGAGGGGGGCTTGGACTCGGGAATTGGATTTTAGGGGTCTCAAACCAGGACAGTATTGTACACTAATCCACAAAGCAAAGTAAAGTTTGGAGTTTTTAAAGGCTCTAGTTAAATTTATATGCAAGCCTATAAAAATTGATATGAAATAGTCATTGTATGGAGCCATAAAAAGTCCATTAGATATATCAGATTAGTTGTTTGTAGGTGTGGACTATGTGGTGCATAGGTAACATGGAAGTCATTTACCACAGGTGATCTGTTAAAATGATGAAACATTTGTTCTTCTCAGCATGAGCTTCCAGTCGCTCAGAGGGTCTGCTCCTTAAATACCATGCCGATGCACTCTTGAGCCAAGGATCTAGCTGCAGATGGAGTCAGAGGCTTTTTACTTCTTAAAAGCATTAGGCTTTCAAACACCGAGCTAGAGCTGAAGCAATCAACAGCTACCAGAACATGATGACTGTTCCAGGGTGGTCTTAGTCCTTCAAACATATCCTGCTCAGTCAACAGAACAAGGATACCTACAAAACAAACTCAGCACCAACAGAATAGACATATTTCTGTCTTCAGTTACATCTTCATCAAATAAGCTTTACATTATTTTTCAGTCCTATAGTTTATCCAACTAGCCTGAAACCAAAGGACATGGAACAAGGTGAGAAGAGTGACCTCATTGCTTGTGTGTTGGATTTGTACAATCAAGAAGAGTAGGCAACTGGGTCTACAGGCCTCCAGACTCTGCTCTGGTGTGTGTATGCCAGAGAAGGGGAGAAGAATATGACAGGTCTTTTTATTCAAAAGCAATTATTAGATATCCCACTGCATCAGATATTTTCTCTCTACATCTCCTCTGACAATTATTAGATGCATAAAATACTCTAAGTGATTGCAAATATCCTGCAAAATCATATTCTTTTGATCTCTAGTTAGCTTTCAGTTAAGTATGCTCCGCCTACAGCACTGATGGATCAAAAAAGGATGCAAAAAGCAAAGCATTTTGAAAGGCGTAAGTCTGTGCTTTGGTTTTGGCGTCAGTATCCAAAACAGCTAAAGCTATTGGAGCTTTAGAATTTCATCAAATGCAAATTGTCAGCTTTGGTACACAGAAGGTTAACACTAATTCTTAGCCCTGGAGCTAAGAAAATATGTATGCAAATATACAGTCAGAGACTTCAGGAAACCCATCTACATTTTGTACATTTTTCACTTCATCAGCTACTCTGGTGGTAGCCAGTAGACCAAATTTCAGCAAATTTGTGCTCCTGACAGCAGTCACATCAAATTACAGAATCTTCCAGACTTAGCTGGCACCCTCATCTTAGCCTTTCTATCACATAATATGCCTGTTGCCTTCATCATGCCTTAACTATGTGAAAATCAGCAGTCTGCTGCTTGTGCCAGCAAAGAAAATGGGGAAAGAATTGTGTTCTTTCCAATGAATATGGCTGGACACCCTTCAGAGACATCTGATTTGATTACCAGTAACAATATTCCATCGACGTTCTTTTTTATATCTATAGCTTAAGGCCCTTTTCCTAAAGAATTAGGTTATGCATGCACATAATAACCTGAATAATTTTTTTTCTTGGTGACAGAGATACTGCGAATTTTAGTTCTGATTTTCCAACAGATGTTACTTGGTAGATTAGTATGATGTATCCCTAGGGCCACTATATTATGCTAAAGAAAAGCTTAGGAGGGTGGGTGAAGGTTGTTTACTGCAGAGGAATAAATCTCATGGGAGACACATGAAATACCTTATCCTAGTCCCAAACCAAAGTGTTCTAATTTCTTGGAATCAAACACAAAGTCCAAAGGGAATCAAGGTCAACACAACAAACTAGGTGATCCAATATCAACATAATTACATTCTATCGACCCAGAAGAAATTCTAGAAGAAACACAGATACCGCTGGATGCCGGAATGGTACCTATCAATTTCTGGCCTCTGGGTCTTGTCATTACCTGACATCTTCACTGCTAAAACCCTTCCTTCAGAATCTTCTCCTCATTTCTATAACCTGATTATTTACACTGGATGCCAGTACCTAACAAACTGTTCCAGGCTAAATTCTAGCAGTCTGCATCATAAAAGGGATTTTGTTCCTTGGAACATCCTGCCTTTTATTATCAATGAAAAATATTTTAAAATAGGCTTCTTTAGAAATCAAACTCTGATATTTGCCATGCATTTATCCTAAGGCATCACAGGAAACCTGACCAGAGGGATTGTCTGAGGACTCTTGTCTGCCTTAGTTATAAAAGAACCAAACCTCACCAACTTCACAAATAAGAAAGGATAATAATTAAATATCAAAGAAAAATGGAAAAAAAGAAAACTATGCATGGACAAATTGACCGGTCTATATCAGATATATAATAGATCTCCCTCTTTTCTCTCTTTTACCTAGTATCTCACTGGGACAGGGGTCTGATCTGTGTGCCCACAATACACTATCAATTACAGAAAAGTAATCAAACTCGTGCGTGACAAATATGTTTTACAAATGTTTCTTGCTAATGGCCCAGCATAACTGCTCTTTTCAAGGATGTCCTCCAGAACACTGAGGACAGTTGAAAACACAAACAAGAAAACTACACTGGAAAGATAAAAAGAAACAGAGTATAAGGATTGTCTGTTTCTCACAGTCTGATGACTTTCCAGGGTGAGAGAAACAGACTGTTATTGGTAAGAAATTAATATTAAAATATAAAATAAAAGGTACATTTGGTCAAGTCCTAAGTCTGTGAAGCACCGTGAGTGTGAACTGTAAAAAGCATTCAATTGTTACAACTGTATTGAACTGTACACTATGCATTTCTTTTTGTTTATTGCCTCATGCCACAAATATTCCCTAATTCCAAATCTCAGCCACATGCAGGAAAATATATTTGTGCTGCAATCTAAATGGTCTAATAAAAACAACATTCAACCATTTGGAACTGAAATATTCATGAGATACTCAGGGAACAATGAAACTGAATTGCTTCAGCTGTCCTAAAGGAACAAAAGTCAAGAAAACACAGGAATAACTAGAAAGTGTTCTACTGTGCCTTCAAACTTTGCTTTTTATTTTTATTTTGCCTTTTACTCCTCTTACTTCAAATCAAGCAACTTCATTCCAATTTAGTAGATATCACTCCTGGCTACCCAGGTTGCTCACATCCATCTATTTAAATTTTAGCCTGTGTTAAGCTACTATGAAACGATAATAGGAATTCTGCCCAACTCAGTGAACTTCCTCTGCCACAGTATAGTCATAGAGCCAGATAATGTATTTATGTGAGTGTTTGCATCTTCATGTGAGTGCAAATAAATGCCAAAAATAATTTTAAAAGTTTCCTAAAATTGAATGCTTAATCTTAGCGAAAACTGCATATCCCTTGCTTGTTATAATTTAAAGATATTACTTTGCTGAGAACTAGCTCTAGGCTCAAGCTTCTTGAGACACTTGTATTAACTGACCATTTCCTGCTTCAATAGAACATATGACCCAAATAAGAAAAACAGTTTCCTAATTAAAATTGCAAACAGTATAACTCAATTATCTTACATCATTATTTAGAAATCTGGGTCAGTGCTATTCTTGCCAGGAATTAAATGAATCTAGAAATAATGCACACTGGGAGCAGCTATCTTAAACTACTGAAGCTCTATCCCTCAGAACCTTATGACTGACATCTGCAGCTAAAAAGGATGTGCCTCTTCAGTATCCGTTGGTCTGGGTGAGCAGAAATTAATTTCACGTGATTCTGCATATGTTTATTATTCTTTATTCTTAGCATCTCTCTAGCTATATCTGTAATGGCAAATATAACTGTCACCTTTCTCTCCTTTTTAATGGATGCCCCTTTTCACAAGAGAAGATGGAGCATACCAGCAACAACACGCAAAAGTCCTCTGTGTCTTCCATTTCCCAAATGTCTTCAATTAACCTATGCTTTTTTCTCTCAACATTATACATAGGAAGGCAACTAAAACCTAAATACAAAATAAAGCAGATAATCAGCCAGCTAAGTCTGTGATACATGGAAATAAGGGAAATTTTACAGAACTCAAAACTTTACAAGGAGCCTTTGATCTACTGCTGATCTACTCTGAACATTTTAGATTATGTCCCAGCTGCCAAGATTACCTTTAACTCCTACACTGCAATTTTCCCCTCCCAAACCCTGATGCAACAGCCAGCACTGCCTACCCACAACTTCTTTACACATCATATAAAGGCAAAGGCTGCTCTGGCTGCAGCTAGACTACTCTCTTCCAGCTCCCCAAAGCTGTTTGTCAGCAGCTTTCTGCATCGACTCTATACATTACCAGCTGTTTGAAGTCCTAGTTTGGGCTTCTGCATCAACACCTAAACAATGTTTAAAGTCAGGAAATATTAACTACATTCAAAAACATATCTCTAAATCTAAGATTGGCTTCAAAACATTTAAATTCTTGCCCACTAAAAGATATTTCAATAAGAATAGTATAAAGATTTGGTATAAATTATTGTCAACTCAGCTTTTCTGAGTATAAGAAAATTAATAGCCTAGGGGAGGGGAAAAAACTAAGTTTTTCTTCTAGAAAACTGATTTTTCCTATTGACTTGTTAACTGACAATTTTTGACACGTTCTTTAATGCTAGCAACCATTTTTTCTAAGGTAAAATGTGTTTTGCCAGTTTCTTACAGTTTTCAAATCTTCACATAATATGTACCATTGAGAGAAGTCCCATGGATGCAGAATACAAATATTAATAGAGGATTTGGAAACTGAAAAACTAAACACTACCTTACTTAGATTTATGTTTTTGTATTTGTATCAAGCTGTCATGTGCTTACAGCAGTACAGATAAAACAGGATCTTAATGTTTTTGCATCAAAGAAGCTTGTAAGCTAATTTGATTTGATCCAGCTGCTTTACCCCACAAGCCCTCTATATGTAGAGCCTTAATCATGATGTCTTAAAAAACTTTAGGTGCTGAGAGAGACTGGATTCCTATCTCACTAGATTATGTAATTATTGGGTTGAATCAATCAACTTGTGTGTGCTGGGAGAGGGGCCAGGTCGGCCAGCCCTACAGCCTCATGGCAGCCACAGCAGACGACATGGAAGCCATATGGCACAGCCTCATGGAAGGAGTCAATCAAAGGGCCCACCTGGTAGTCTGCCCACACCATGCCCCCTGGAGCCTCTGATTGGCTGCACCACCCCTCACTCAGGCCTGGAGAGCACTGAGTGGTCACTGAGCCAGGTGTCCCGCTTGGGAGGGGTGGCCACGCTGGCCAGACCATATAAATAGAGGGGCACAGTGTCTCCTCTTTCTCCTCTCCAGCAATCACCACATGGAAGATTCTCAGTGGTAACTATTGTTCTCTTATTCTAATCTCTTGCTTTACTCCTTCTCTATTCTCTCTCTCTTTACTCCTGTTTCTTCTCTTAATCTCTCTGTTTCCTTAGTCTCTTGTGGTTAATTTAAACCAGTGGGTTGTATTTTACTGAGTTGTGGGTTGCTGCTTGCTGAGTGCTTTGTGGAATCTTCTTGATTGTGTGTTACCCCTGTGAACCTTTTGCCAAAATGCATATTTTCTCACTAAATTAAAAGAAATCTCTTGAGAAAAAGTGTGTACCGTTTTCTCTCTGTGTGATCTCAAGGTATTAAAGAACCAAAGGCTCTGCAAGATTTTGGTGGGAACTCTTGAAGTGTTAAATAAAAATAATACTCCCGGTAAAGCTTGAGGCTTCTGGACTGGGGTGTTATAAGTGCCATTCAAATTTCCAGATTATAAACTTAGTTTTTGGATGATACCTTGTTCCACAGTGGCTCTTTTGCTCGATTTATACTGTGTATTTTCTGAAGTGTTTAGGAATCACTCTGGGATACCAAGTGTTTCAAAGGCATGAGAATGTGCATCCTCCCTGTTGAATGTAGTCTTCAATGTTAAGCCACACAAAATTCTTCTTTCCACTTTTACAAATATCTGCAAAATATTATGAGAAAAAAAATCATCTCTTTATTTTTTAGTAAAAAAAAATGCTTTTATTAACATAAGTTTCCATTTGCTTTTCAGAAAAACATTTACTGGAAAATTAAGGGTTTAAGAATGAAGAGGACTTCAAGACATCATATGATGAATAAAGAAAGACCAACCCAAACAAGTTTTTGTTTCTCTTTTTTGAAGGCATTCTATGCAGCAGAGAAGTAATATATATTGTTTCATATTTGTAAATCAACCATTAGTTTTGTTTGTTGAAATTATTAACCTGCAGTCCTGTTTGATTCCTAGTTGGAAAAATATATATTCTGTTTCTGTGCCTATTAACAGAATTCTGAATCCAGTTCAGTTAAGTCTGCTCAACTTTGTGGTTGTTGTTAAGAAACATAAATATTTATATTAGCATTTTTATTCAAGGAAATTTATTTATAAGGGAAACAAGACCCATAATTCAAATGTCAACTTTAAAAAAATTATTTATTTGAACTATGTAAAAACTAAGTCAGAATTTATTCATAAAAATAGTGTAAGAAGATATAAACAAATGAAAGTTAAAGTATAGTACTTTTGACAACTTTAATAATATTTATCATCCTCTAAAACATCATCTAAGCTTCTATTCTGCAATATCATTTTGTTATTTCATCATTTTGGCTGGAGAGCTACTCAAACCATTGGATTTCAAAAAGATCTCAAGTGATTCTATGTCTTGTAAACCAGACATGTTCAATAAATAAACTTCCTAATACGAAGAAATTAATGACAAATTATTTTCTGAATCTCCCCTTTGCAGAGCCCTGCTGCTCAGGAATTGCCAGCAAACAGTGGTTATATTAAGCCTTTATCTATTGAGTTATTTGAGTTTAAGATTTCAATCTGTACTATAGATTATACATTTTTCTTCTAAGGTATCTTTTGTTATTTTCCTAAAAAGAAAGTCCATTCTTTACAGCACATGTGGAATAGTAAGATATCTGTACTGCATGGAAGAACATGTGCTTTTTTTGCCTCATATTGATAAATCAATTAAACTTTGATTAATGTTTGGCTCAGTGTCACATAAATTTGCCTAAGGGCTGATACCACATAAACCAAGATGGCTGGATGCGAGCTCTCTTAAAACACTGCATTAGTGCATCCCGTGTATTCCTTTTCAAGCACAGGTTTGCTTCCTCTCACTGCAGAAAATTTCTGACACGTAGAATGAAGACCTAGAAACACCCATCCTGTGTCTTTTGTTTGCAATCAAACATGGCAATCAGAAATATTCTTACAGTGCAAATTACAAGTTTCAATAATCTACTCTAGTGTTTACACTCTATTTGCTACTCCTTTTATTTGCATGATAAAATAAAGAAAACTGACAAACTGGAAGATTTACAAAGCTGTCTCATTCTTTCAAAATAAGAATTCTAGATACATCTCAAATACTTTGATCAAAATTTCCTTGACTCATTCAAATCTATTGTCTGATTTAAGTCATCTTTACAAGCAATCAAGCCATCTGTCTCTTATGTGTATGGCCAGTCTTCGCAAGCGAAGATTTGGGAAAGGTCATTAACCCTTCGAGCCTGCACAGTGGATTTTTTAGGTGAGACACAGTGTGCGCTGAACTGAGCCCACCCTTTAATCCTGAGGTTCATCTGCTGGGGCCGAGCAAGCTTGGACAGTGGCAGTGAGGTCCTCTGGATGTAGGTTTGTTTAGAGTGACCTTCTCTTAGATGGATGGCCTTACAGGGCTGACAAGGAGCTCCATCTGCCTGCTGCACCTGTCTCTATACTCAGGCAAGGAATGGCTAATGCTGTGATGAGCTCCACAGCAGCTTCCTTTTAATAAAGCAATAAACTGACTTCCAAGTATTTGGCAATGCCAACCAGGAAGAGTGTAATCATACAAATAGGTAGTTCTAAATAGTTCGCATATGAGTTCCAGACATGCAGGGGGAGACAGTGTGCTAGGAATGCAGAAAATAAACTTCAGTACACAGTAACTTATGTGTTAAGAATTCAATTGTCTCCTTGATAATACCATGATAAATTATCCTGTTTAACATGGACAAAGTATATAAAACATTTTTAAATGTACAGCTTCCATCTTTTGGTCGTAACAAATTTGGAGCACCATCTCATAGATTTAATGGCTGCAGTAATGTGGCCAAAGGTTCACTGATCTAGTAAAAGCATTTCTAGAATTATGAAGACATTAAAAGTCATTAAAAACAAGTAGAGGTAACAAGTGAGAAATACATAGACAGTGATGTTAAAAAAAAAAAAAAAAGAAAAGCTGATTGACTAGTATCACTTTTGATGTATTTAATCAATATTGATTGTACAGTTTAATGACACTCATTGTGGTCAATAATTCTATATTGTTATCTATGGAAATAATTTCATAATTTCATTGTCCATAATTATGGAATTAATGTATGAAGCACAGTACTTGATGTACTATTCAGTATTTATGGTGAAGTCATCTGTGTCATCTCTATCATTTAGCACTGGGAAAGATCCAGTTACAGACAAAATCAAATTGTAATTAGAATGACGAGTCAAATTTACACTTGCTCAATGGTAGGTATCTATAAAGTGACCAGATTTCTCAATTATTTTAGATGACTTTTCTCAAAATGTCTAAGAATGTTTATCAATGTCTCCATTTATATTTGAATAAGATATGCATTAAGTAATTAGACATTTGAAATAACTGTTAGAATTGTTAGCTGGCTCTCTCTTCTCGAAAGGCCAAAGTAGCTCACAATGGCTAATAACTAAATATTTCATGTGTAAAAGGATATGCAGATGCAATTACTGCTGCAACCTCATCCGAGCAGCCAAGTCTAATTAAGTGCCAAGCTAGAGTTACAAAAGGTTTATGAAACTTCCCCTCAAAAATGATGACTCAGCTATGGTGACACATAGACAATAAAACTACCTCCAGGAGCAAGAAGAACAAGACTTTTATATAGCTTTGTGAGTAATGTTATGGAAAGACCCTGTTCTCCCACACTATTCAAAATCTATTATTGAAATTAAAACACAATTGAAACATTCAACCTGTAGTCAAGAAAGAAAACTTGTTGTAATATTCCCACCTTCATTAACACATCCCTAAATCTGTTTAAATTGTTCTTCCCTTCAAATCAAACAGGAAGCTCTCATAAGCCTTACCTCTTTCCATTTGTTATTATTTACATTTCTAATTACTAGTATATCCTATTAATGATTATCTTAATTATTACTAAATTGATCACTAAAATATGAATGTTCTGTATTCTTTTTATCAGCACGTACAAACTATAGACGTCTATGAATGAGAGTACTGTGTTAGATATTCAGAAATAAAGATGGGAAGGAAATATTATTGGCCCATCAACCTTCCAGTTTTCAAACAGCTTTCCTCATTCCACATTGCACTCAGACAGAGCTTTCAACTTCTCATAAAAGTCTTGACAGAGTAATAAGTCCATATTTTTATCTAGCCTTAGTGTGTACTATGTAAAGAGACTGTACCTATCTCAGAGAAGATGTCAGACCTTCATATATCACCAAGTATTACAACAAATGTCTGATTCTTAAGAATAAAAGATGTAAAGATGACACAAACACATTTTCTATTGTTTGTCATCCTGCACATATACACCGACATTCTTCATAATTTTTTCTTAGTGCTGCAATGACTTCCTCATTTGAGAATCAATTCTCAGAAATAAAAGGTAATCAGTGTGGCTTTATCACATCCCATTATTTCTAGAAGTGGCTGCCTATCTTAAGTTAGAACAAGGCTTCTTCTTTTACTTCTTCCACAGAGCTCTGTCATTTTCGTTATATCTGTGCTGAATAATATTGATCCTTTTTTAATTTAAAAATGTAATAGTGTTTCAAGTAAATTCCTGCCAGATTACTCTTCATGTAGAGCAACAGAGCTATACTAATACTTGATGTGGTAACAATGCAGAATTTGCTCAGATTTTACTATTAGGAGACATTAAACTCTTCAAGTGTGGTATGCTAATCTTGTTCTAATTCTTCACCCATCTCTTATGAACTTTCCTCCATTCCCTAAATCTGCTGACAATCCCATGCCACTGAATATTATTACAGTTCCTAGAACTGTTCAGGATATATTTTATCTTGCTCATGGAGTCCTTCTGATGATACGAATATGTACATGGAATATCTTAAACTGATTGGCAACCAGTCACCGTTTCCTCAGTCAAGACAGCTATTTAGTATTTTAACATCTCTTAAAAATGCAAGAAAGAATGCAGAAGTTTAACACCGCCTTTAAAAGTTCTGATTTTCCTTCCTACTCAAGCAGTAGTGTCTACGCTATGTGCTAATCAAATACCATTCAGTTAAGGGGATGAAATACCAGGCTTACTTAAAGAAGCTATAAATAAAGTTTATTTGTTTCAGTAAGGACCTTAGCAAAGGACAGGTTGCTGTCTTTAGTCGTGCTGGGCAGCTTTCTTACTGCTCTTAATACTAGTTTCATGATAACCTCATAAATTTCTCATGGGTAATCAACCTGGGAGCCAGGTGCTGTGAAAGCTCCTTCTCCCACTGAGTGAGCACAAGTCATGTCAGCCTGTAAACCGCTCTGATTATTAACATGAGCCGCACAACTCTCCTTAAAATCTGTGAGCCAAATGCTGTATTGAGTCATTGTTAGAACCATCTTTAACAGCGTCTTCCAATCGTGGGGCATGAACAACATGTGTTACATAAGGTTTCCAAATAGGAAAACATATGGGGCAAGGAGACACCACTTTCTTTAACAATCTGCCTCAGTTCCTTCATTGCCTCATACAGCAGCCTTTGGAACTGAGGGTTTTGTCACGGTCTGTATATTATGAGACATGCATTTAATCACTTCCCAGTCCTCTGCTCGTAATGCCTCCTCCCGACACCTTTCCCATCTGCTTATGGAAACACTTGTGCCTGCACCTCCATTCTCAGTCTGAGGGACGATGGCTGACCCCTCT